TTCAGTATCAAGGGTCAAAGGCTGATGGTGCCATAGCACTGACATCACTACAAGCATATTGGATAGGATAGGATAGGATAGGATAGGATAGGAGGATAGGATAGGATAGGATAGGGTATGAATAAGAATAGGAATGGAATAGGAATAGGAATAGGAATAGGAATAGGAATAGGAATAGGAATAGGAATAGGAATAGGAATAGGAATAGGAATAGGAATGGAATGGAATGGAATAGAAGGATAGGATAGGATAGGATAGGATAAGATAGGATTGGATAGGGCATGAATAAGAATAGGAATGGAATAGGAATAGGAATAGGAATGGAATAGAATAGAAGGATAGGATAGGATAGGATAGGATAGGATAGGATAGGATAGGATAGGATAGGATAGGATAGGATAGGATAGGATAGAATTCTTTATTGGCCAAATATGATTAGGCATACAAGGAATTTGTCTCTGGTGCATAAACTCTCAGTGTACATACAACAACAAGGTAATATAATCAGTGTACATACAAACATACAAATTAACAGCAACTTTTTAAAAAAACAACTGGACAATGATTAAAAGCAAAATAGGAATAGTCCCTATTGTCCTTGTGTGTAAAATGTACCCTGTTTCCCCTAAAATAAGACATCCGCTGATAATAAGCCCAATTGGGTTTTTGAGAGCATGCACTAAAATAACCCCCCCCTTGAAAATAAGCCCTCCCCCCAAAAATTTAAACACATGCACAGCCGGTCTCCACCATTTCCTCTGGTTTCCTCCACATGCCCCAAAATAATAAGACCTCCCTGAAAATAAGGCTAGCACTTATTTCAGGGTTCAAAAAAATATAAGACAGGGTCTTATTTTTGGGAAAACATGGTACCAATTTTTTCAGGAGTTGGCTGTTGATTTTCAACTACATTTCCAAAGTTAGAAAAAGAGGCTGAAAGCACCCATATCATTGAAGTAATTCGGGTTCCATCTTTCTAGTAAATCTGGGAGCAGTCGTGGAGATGATATACAGAAACTACCAAATACATTCAAAAACACAAATTGTTTGTGGCCAAAATTGATGTAATGGAGATCTCTAACTCATTTTTGACAAAAAATGTTAAGACTTTTAGAGAGTTCTTTCAGAATAAATCTGTTTTGTATTTATTGCAGTACCTCCAAACGAGCCAGTTATTTTTCAAAGGTTCTTTTTTACATGCCTCGCTCAGCTAGCAGGGTATTTTACTGACACGATTAGTAAAATGGTCTTCTGTTTGTCTCCTGATTTATGAAAAAATCACTCATTAATCAGTCACATTAGATTTGGCTCAGCTTGGCACAGATATCCCCAATTCCATTCATTCTGTTTGGATTCTACTAGACATGTATTTCCACCTCGGATTATTTTGAGCCAAACTTGAAAATTCTAATTTCATTTTCTCAGTTTAGATTCAGATTCATATTAAGCCTGAATGCTATTTACATGCAACTATGCAGAGATTAAGAAAACATGTCCCCCGCCCCCCGGCAAAATAATGGTTGATATAATAGAAAATTTGGTGAAAAGCTGACAAGTTTTTTCTCAGTGCATCAGTAGATTCATACCTTTGATGCATTTCTGAGAATGCACATTGGTAAATATTATAACTTGAACTGCATACTAAAAATCTCCTTATCTCACTGGAGTGAAAATATTTAGCTGGGTGAAGAATAAAAACACACATAGAAACACATGGTGAGATGAGAAACAAGATCTGGAGCCAAATATTTTGTGGCAGACGGTGAACATTATAAAAAGAAGAGTGACATGCCAGCAAAAAAAACTGCAGTAGCTGAACACAAGTAGCCTAACATATTTTAAAATTATTTCGTACAATAACTAACTTTATCATAATTCTGTTTCAGGTTCATTAAAGCAAGAGCTACCAAACTGAAAGATAAAGCAGCTGCTTTTAAGATGGAGAATCTGCAATGGAAAGAGAGCTTCAAGGATCTCAAGGTCATCTTGAAGGTGTCTATAAAAATTCTTACCAAAAGTAAAGATTAAAGAAGGAAGGGATTTATTAACTGCATAGGGAGGAATTAACGTTACCTGTGATGAATCAATCATAACTGCTTTTAATGAAACCTAAAATAATTTACTTTTCTTTTTCCTAGCCATACCTATGATTTAATAGGGCAATGTATCAAAGGCCAAATGCTGAAGGCCAGTGTTTCTTGGCCTTGGCATGTTAAAGATGTGTGGACTTAAACTCCCAGAATTCCCTGCTGGGGTATGCTGGCTGGGGAATTCTGGGAGTTGAGGTCCACCATACATCTTAAAACTACTGAAGTTGAGAAAGAATGCTGTAGGCCCTTGCTCTAAGAGTTCTTCAGAAAACACCATTCCATCCATCTCTGCATACATTGGGAGCAGGCATTAATAATTATCAATACATTTAGGAAATTTTAATTTCACAACTGAGGAAGCTACTCTTTTAGAAAGGCAGAAGGGCCTGAATTCCCTGACCTGCCTGCAGGAAGAAATATTTCAGCCTTGGTATGGTTAAAGCAAGGTGGCTTTAGCTGGGCTGCAAAACCTCAGAGAACCACTAAATGGCAGTAAAGAGAATCTTCTTTATCTGATTTATATTATTTATACAAATCAACATCACATGAAGTGTTAATATCACTTTATAATGCCTTGGTAAGGCAGCACTTGAAATACTGCATTCAGTTTTGGTCGCCACGATGTAGAAAAGATGTGGAGACTCTAGAAAGAGTGCAGAGAAGAGCAACAAAAACGATTAGGGAACTGGAGGCTCAAACATATGAAGAACGGCTGCAGGAACCAGGTATGTCTAGTTTAATGAAAAGAAGGACTAGGGGTGACAGGATAGCAATGTTCCAAGATCTCAGGCGCTGCCACAAAGAAGAGGGAGTCAAGCTATTCTCCAAAGCACCTGAGGGCAGGACAAGAAGCAATGGGTGGAAACTAATCAAGGAGAAAAGCAACTTAAATCTAAGGAGAAATTTCCTGACAGTTAGAACAATTAATCAGTGGAACAACTTGCCTGCAGAAGTTGTGAATGCTCCAACACTGGGAGTTTTTAAGAAGATGTTGGATAACCATTTGTCTGAAATGGTGTAGGGATTCCTGCCTAAGCAGAGGGTCGGACTAGAAGACCTCCAAGGTCCCTTCCAACTCTGTATTCTATTCTATTCTATTCTATTCTATTCTATTCTATTCTATTCTATTCTATTCTATTCTATTCTATTCTGCATCTCTTTGCTTCCATCAACTGATCAGTGTGTGTGTGTGTGTGTGTGTGTGTGTGTGTGTGTGTGTGTGTGTGTTTACAGTCCAAATATAATATGCCTACTTAAAGACATAGGCAGAGGGGAATATAAGAGGTGCATGCAAATGACAACTCACTTACAAGTTGTATTTTTATTGCAGCCAGGCATCAAATTTAATGTGTCAGGTACAGTAGTGACAAAGTGGCAAAATGCAGTGTATACCAAAAGTCAGACCCCATAGGCTAACCGCAATATGTTATATTATCTTTTTTCAGAGAAAATGTCGTTATATTAAGGAATGTTCTCAACAGTCATGTGTTAAATAAATAAGGAAGTGCTTAGAAGAAATGGCAAACCACTTGAACATTTAATGTATATACTAAACTGTCTATCAAAACTGACTTTCTCTATGGGGCCGTACTTTAGATACATTCTATATACACACTCTACCTTATTTAGGAAAAATGTTTTCATTTGCATAATATGGCTTGGAGCACATGGAAAGGTATGTGTTAATTGCATACAGCGAGCCAAAAATAATTAAGAAAACATGGATTGTCAATGATGGTTTCACTCGGTTTCTCATTTTTCCAATCTTAAATTTGTTTCATTCATTTGTTTTGCTACACTTTATAATTGCATAAACGTCAGTGAATATTTTGTGTGTGTTTTCCCTTCTACCCATATTACTTGTACTTAACTTTTTCCCTAGCACTCATATTTTTTGCAGTCCATCTACCATAATGTATTCTTTACATTATTTTCACAAATATTTCCTGTATTGTTTGCGCTCATCCCTAATATACCCCTTTTCTGAACAGAGTGAAAATTGTGCCTCCATGACTGTGCATGCATGATTCTTGAGATATATTTGTGATTAGACTCACGCATTGGCACAGTAAGTGTAAATTCAGGGAGCGTGAATTCAATAAGCTTGCGTTAAAAAAAGAAATAACCACGTTTCTCTCTGATCCCTCAATATAACAGAAATATATATTTATTCTGTGATGGATCAGCATTCCTATCCCAATTTCCTCATCCCTGGCTAAGATGTACATCAGGAATTCTGCCTTATACACCATCCGACTATTCATCTTTCTTGGTCAATATTGCCTATTCTGATAGACAACAGTTCTGTCCAGACCTCTGCCCCCCCCCAAAAAAAATACAGATATTTCCCATCACGTCCTGCCCAGGGGTGAAATCCAGCAGGTTCTGACAGGTTCTGGAGAACCGGTAGCAGAAATTTTGAGCAGTTCGGAGAACCGGTAGCGGAAATTTTGAGTAGTTCAGAGAACCGGCAAATACCGGCTGGCCCCAGATTGGGGTGGGAATCGAGATTTTGCAATATCCTTCCCCCAGGAGTGGGGAGGAAATGGGGATTTTGCAGTATCCTTCCCCTGGAGTGGGGTGGGAAAGGAGATTTTGCAGTATCTTTCCCCTGCCACGCCCACCAAGCCACACCACGCCCACCAAGCCATGCCCACAGAACCAGTAGTAAAAAAATTTGGATTTCACCACTGGTCCTACCTGATGATTTAAGATGAAGGTGCCCTCTTCATGCAAAATATTCCCTATGGTTGTTCCCAAAATATATCCGCCCAGTCCCATCCCCATCCCTGGTGATGGTCCGCAAGCTGGGAGTGCACATGAAAAGGAACTAAGCTAAACAATGGATGGAGAAATGGCCCCGCCCCGCCCCAGCCCTCTCTCCCAAGGCATGAGGAGAAGCAGGCGTACCTGTTTATTCTTTAAGTCAAGGGAGAGCTCATAATTGGACGCAGCCGCATGGGAACAGGTAGCTGCCCCTTTGCTGCGCTGCCCTCTCACGGGGGAACCTGTGTGGTGGAGGCTGGCCTTCTGCACCAAATGGGAGGACCCCGCTGCCTGCTCTTCCTGCCGCTCCTCATGCTGGGCTTTTAACTTCAAGGTGTCGGACCTGCCTTCCTGGCCACTGCCTCTGCCGGACTCCTTCGGTTCGTCCACGTCACACCCGGTTTTCTTGCTGGCTGAACCGCAGGGATCATCACTGTGAACAAAACGCAACGTTTCTCTTTTTTTATTTGGTTTTTTTGTTTGTTTGTTTTGTTTTGTTTTTGGTTGGTCGGTTTAATTTTCTAGCTCTACGTAGCTAACTGGCTTTGCAAAAACAAAAAAAAATAATAATAATCCACGGAGCACAGGCTACAATAGGGCAGATGTTAGAAAGCTCCTGGAAATGGAGGGAAAGTTAACCATTAGTGGAATCATCGTCATGAGAGAGTCAGGCAGGGCAAAACTTGTAGGCCTCTCCTAGGTAACAGTCAACAACAGTCTGGCAGGAGGGAGCAACCTATGGTTGATGAGTCATCGACAGTCCCCCCCCAACTTCTATTGAATTACTCCACCCCCCGAGGCTCCCCAAGATCATTGTCAAAATTCAGCAGCAAAATGATGATTCTTACCAGTGCATTTGCACTCATGCAAGTTTTCCATAAACACTTAAAATAGGTATGCTAAGCCTCTAAGAAGATTTTGAGTGGGCAGGAAAATTCCCAAGCTCTTCAAATTATGGTTGAAACTTGTCCCACTTCCTCCATTGGTATCACATCTCACTGCCTCAAACCCCAGAATCACGCTCCCCAGAAACAATTATATTTCCAATAAAATCAAAATTGCCCGTTTCTGGTTATACTAAAGGCATTTCAAAGGCATTATAACAAACTTCCCAGTCCACTACCCTCAACAGTTATTGGATTTCAATTTCTAAAATCCCAAGTCAGCGGGAAATTATGCAAATTGAACTCTAACTCATCTCAAGAACACTGGATTTGGCAAGTCAGATTACAGAATGAGAACACATTGACATAACCTAGAATTTAGTGAGCCAAAGGCAATAAAGCACTGTGGCTTGCTAGCATTTTACCCCACTTTTACTCCTTTTCAGGAAATGCAGATACTGAAGGTTGTTGAGTTCAAGATCACCATGTGAGACAGACGTCTGTAAGTAGATCACAGACGCTTTTAGCTATGAATTAGGAAGATCCCATTACATATCCCAGAACATGTGAGATGAATGTTGTATAATGTTCTATACTATGCTATGCCATGCCAGGCCATACCATACCATACTATACTTTGTATAATATAGGTCAGGGGTCAGCAACCTGCAGCTCTGGAGCCGCATGTGGCTCTTTCACCCCTCTGCTGCAACTCCCTGTCACTCAAAAAATATGCGTCACAACCGCCAATGTGTAACACCTGCCAGCACACGATTTATTGAGCTTTTCAAACCCCCGGTAGGCCAACCATGGATAAATCCAAGAAAAGAAAAGTTTCAGAAGAAAACAAAGTTTAATTCAACTACACATGCTAGTTTTGTGGCCGCTTAAGAAATAGTCAGGCACGGGAAGGGTTTTGTGGCTCCCGGTGTTTTCTTTTCTGTGGGAAACGGGTCCAAATGGCTCTTTGAGTGTTTAAGGTTGCAGACCCCTGGTATAGGTGGTATCTGGCTCAATAGTAATAACTGTGAAAGGGAACTTGGAGCCCTACTAGACAATCCCTTAAATATGAACCAGCAGTGTGCTGCAGCTGCCAAAAAAGCCAATACAATCCTAGGCTGTATTAACAGTGGGATAGAATCAAGATCACCTGAAGTGTTAAAACCAATTTATAATGCCTTGATAAGACCATGCTATTGCATCCAGTTTCAGTTGCCACAATATTAAAAAAAAGATGCTGAGACTTTAGAAAGAATGCAGAGAAGAGCAACAAAGCTGATTAGGGGACTGGAAGCCAAAACATATGAAGAACGGTTGCAGGAACTGGGTTCGTCGAGTTTAATGAAAAGAAGGACTAGGGTAGACATGATAACAGTGTTCCAAGATCTCAGGGGCTGCCACAAAGAAGAAGGAGTCAAACTATTCTCCAAAGCACCCGAGGGCAGGACAAGAAGCAATGGGTGGAAACTAATCAAGGAGAGAACCAACCTAGAACTAAGGAGAAAATTCCTGCTAGGACAATTAATCAGTGGAACGACTTGCCTCCAGAAGTTATGGGTGCTTCAACACTGGAGGTTTTTAAGAAGAGACCGGAAAAGCATTTCTCTGAAATGGTATAGGGTTTCTTGCCTGAGCAGGAGATTGGACTAGAAGACCTCAAACTCTGTTATTCTGTTATTCTTTTATACATATAATAGGAAGCCTCAATACTCAGTTTGTATTTGATGTGGAATATATACTTCACAGATGGGCAATATCCACTCAAAGTAATCTTCATTCATATTTCAAATGCTGCCAATCTAGACTCATAAAACAATGTACTGCAATAGTTTTCTCCAGCATTGTAGTCCAAATACATCTATTCAGAGGACACCAAAGTGAGAATGGAGGGAGAAGACACTAAAAGGAAATGAGAGACAAGGCAATTTTTACAGATATCAGCATACACAACTGTAGTCTACCAATATCCTACTTTTGAGCCCCAGAGCCCATCCAGATTGGAGAGGGGGGAAACTGAAATGTTTGTTTATGGGAAGTTCTTACACCACAGAATGGTATATTTATGCAACTTCCCAGTTTGATCCCGAACGTGTAGGCCTAAAGCCGTGATGGTGCACCTATGGCATGTGTGCCACAGCTGGCATGCAGTGCCCTCTCTGCGGGCACACGAGCCATCACCCAGATTAGCTGCACTGCGCATGCGCACGCGTGCCTCCTGCTGACCAGCTGATTTTTGGGATGCGCGGAGGCGGGGCACATGTGGGAGATGCATGTGCATGCACAGGGGGTCGCACGCATGCGCAGAGGGGCAGGGGTCATGTGCATGTGGGGGGGCAGGGGTTGCATGCATGTGCGGGGGCGGGGGTCACACACGCATGCGTGAGTGTGGGGGCAGAGTGTGTGGGGTGGGGTGTGTCCCCCACGGCCCACTTTTGGGCCCAGGAGGCTGCTAGGCAAAAATGGGGGTAGGGGTGCAGCCCGCCCCCTCCACAGCCCCCCCCCCCACAGTCCGTTTTTGGGCCCAGGAGGGTGCAGGGAGGCCTCCTAGGCCAAAAACAGGGGGCGGGGGGGATCACACATGCATGTGCAGAGGGTGGGCAGAGCATGGGTGGTTGCGCATGCTTGCGCTTTCAGCACACAACAAGAAAAAGGTTAGCCATTACTGGTCTAAAGTCACCCAGAGCATTTCTTAAAGTTGCTAACTAACTTTGTTAGTTTAAGGCTTAGGTGAATTTTCTAACCAATTACAAGGCAACCCCTGCCCTTCCAAAAAAGGACCGATTAATTTCAGCTTCATTCACATCAATGACCTCTTGTTTTATCTTTCACAGATGGGATGGAAAGACAACATGAATCCCCTGGGCTGGAAGGATGTCACACCATTGGTCTTAGCTGAGAAGAATGTTGTGTATGAGTTATCTATGGATTTGTGTATCTTTCTTTGTGGGAAAACATATGGCATGGTGATTGTGGGTTTTGGGGGGGGAGTTATTGTTTCTTTTGGGAGGGAACTCTTATTTTTATGGACAACTTTAATGCTGATGGAAAGCTGTGATTCAACTTTCAGTCCTAGTAAGGAGAAGGTACATCTGAAATATTGCCAACAAAACTGCAGAGACTAGTCCAGTGGTGAAATCCAATTTTTTTTACTACCAGTTCTGGGGGAGTGGCTTGGTGGGCATGGTGTGGCTTGGTGGGCGTGGCTTGGTGGGCATGGCAGGGGAAGGATACTGCAAAATCCCCATTCCCTCCCCACTCCTGGGGGAAGGATATTGCAAAATCTCATTCCCACCCCACTCTGGGGCCAGCCATAGGTGGTATTTGCTCTTTCTCTGAACTACTCAAAATATCTGCTACTGGTTCTCCGAACTGCTCAAAATTTCTGTTACCAGTTCTCTAGAACCTGCTGGATTTCACCCCTGGACTAGTCCAGGCAATTGCCAAGAATCAATACTGACTCAAAGGAATGGAGAAAAAAAAGAAAGAAAAAGAGAGGGAAAAAAGAGGGAAATGCTGCTATCTGCTAATTCATTTCCCAACTGAAATTAATCCTAAATTAGGCTGATGCTGTCTTTGTGTATATATTGCTTATCTCTAAGCATGAGTTTACTTGCATATTCTATCTACTGTTCACAGCATGAAACCCTACTAAAGAAGCAAACAAAATTTACTCCGAGATGTATATGCATAGAATTAGTCTTAATAGCATGTATCTTTTTTCCCCTCACAGATCTCTAATTTGATAGATCCTGAAAAATCACATTTTTAAACTGGACTGCAGGCCACAAAAAGATGGGTCCCACAAACTGGAGAAACCGGGGGACTGAGAGTTCTAGTCCCACCTGAGGCACAAAGCCAGCTGGGTGATCTTGGGCCAGTCAATCTCTCTGAGCCCTAGGAAGGAGGCAAGGGCAAACCACTTCCAAAAGAAAACTGCAAGAACAAGTCCAAGCAGTTTCCAGGCAGTAACAATGACTCACAGACTCACCCCTCCCCCAATTGACACAATAATAGTTCACAATTGGAGAGAGAAGGTGATGTTTTTGCAGGTTATATATCCATAAATATCTGTCAAAGATGAGATATGAATGATTAAGTAAGTGTTAGATTATGAATATAAAAAGAGACAGATGCCGAAGTCAATTATCTGGAATGGAAAAGGCCAGTTGTCTTTGATTAATATGTAGTTCAAATAGATTTGTCAAGCCTTTTACTTATGTTGGTGTAGAAATATGTAAATGATTTAATTGGGAGAATGCTACCCCGTGCTAAACATATAGAAAAGGGACAGGGTTTTGAATACATGGTTGCACCCCCCATGTTACATTTTTAGCTACTTCCCTCTCCCCCAACGTCATATATTAAAAACATGCTGCAGCAAAGAAAATACTGTATGTGTATTAGGCTTAAAGAGAAAGATTAAACTTCAGACGGTATGGAGTAGGGGAAGGAACTGTCCAAAGTAGTGATTAGGCCTCAGGGAAAAACTAGTTTTGAAAGAAATTTCAAGGCTTCCTTTGAGCACATGCAAATCAAATCCTAATGCTAC